AAAAAAAAAAGTTATCAAAAGACAACAAATGTGTTCCCAAATGCTCTGTCCCACATACAACTGAAAATGTCAGTTCTGTTGCTTGCTTCTTCTTGAAGAATCCCAGGTAAACTATGTTTTTTGGAAATTTTAATAGCATAGTTATAAAGTGTAGTATTAGAGGGCAGCACCCCTCAGAGCTTCCTGGGGAACTTTTGAAAATGTCGCTACCTCCCATGGTCCTACCTCCCATAGGGATTCAGCTCCAGGCCTTTGGGAGTCCCTCAAAAGGCAGACTGGGGGCTGAGGTCCAGACAGTGGCTGTTGGGGATGTAAACATGTTTTTGTTTTGATCCCAGGTGTAGGATATGGGACAGATTCAGACTGTCCACAGAAGCAAACTATTTGCCTGGTGCTAGCTCTCTGCCAGCTGTCTATAGTTTAAATCTGAGGACTCTGGAGAGGGAATAAGGGCCCAGAGAGAGATGAGGAGCTCCGAGAAAGAAGGCTGCTGCTGCTGTTCCTGGTTGCTGTGGATGAAGTTGGATGAGAAGTTGGAGATATCCTAAATCAAAGGTTGGACTTGCCATCCACCCTCTGAGACGGTCCTGGACCCTGCAGACCAACATCTCAGACATGTTGAAAAAGATTTTCTGATCCCAAAAATAATGAGAGAAAAGACCAGAGAAAGGTGTTCTGAACAAGTTGAAGATTTTACCAGATGTTGCATGGACTCTGGAATCCTTATGATAATAAAATGCCGGAAAGAAAATTCTTCATTGAAAGACTGTCTAACTGCTTACTATAATGATCCAGCTTTCCATGAAGAATGCAAACTGGAATATCTCAAGGAAAGGGGAGAATTCAGAAGAACCGGAGTCCCTACCAAGAAAAGGCTACAGAAGCTTCCCACAAGCATGTAGGCAAATAGTGAGTCAGGAAGTCACATATTATGGAAACCATTTGCAATGTAAACCAGAAATGATGAACTGAAACAATATTTGCTCACCCTGATTATGAAAATAATGATTTTTTTAAAAAAATGAAATAAAAATCTTTTTTTTTTTTTCAGGAAAAAAAGGTTGGACTTGCCTTAAGGAACCCAATGGCCCTAACCAGCACAAAGTACCTAAAGAGAACTCTGTCCCCTCTCCCCACTAACCCTTTCTCTCTCCTAAGGAGAGGCATAAGAAACCAAAATAAAATAGAAAGTTAAAAAGTATGTCAAGAATTGGTGCCCAGACGTCGGGCTTAGAATAATGTAAAATCTGGTTTCTAATGCCGTAGAAGAGACAGCAGGGTACGGAGAAATGAATATACTATTTCAGGATATGAGTATAAGTAAAAGGTTAACTGTGGCTGCTACCACTGGTCTCTCTTCGGCTTTACTCCCAGAGCAGATTTTCTGGTTTTGCTTCTTCGTTCTTCCTGCATTCTGTTTTTAAGAAGGTTGTAAGAATGGTTGAACAACTGGAAAAGTTGCAAGTGGATATATAAGGGTTTGAGAAACAAACAAAAAAAAAGGATAAAAAAATCAGAAGGTTCACTCATTTTTAGAAAGGGTTGCAGAGTTGGCAGTGCAGGTATATAATTTGCAGGTAGAGGTTGAAATGCTTGGAAAGCAAAAAGCACCATTGGTAAAAGGAGAACATCTGGTAACTAAGAGTTTCCCACAATTGCCACTCAGCCCTGCTCAGAGCACTTTTGGTGTCAAGTTCCCACAGCCCCTTTGTGAGGCAAGGGGCCAGCAGGAGCAGAAAGCAGACAGGCTGAAAGGGTTAGATAGACAGCCAGTTTCAAGAGCAAGGGTTAATCTTGAGGAACCTGAGCTGCCAGAGGAGGAGCCTTGGGTTGATATGACCACTATTAATATTCCCAGTAGCCACCTTAGATATCAATATGTTCACTGCTTCAGTTGCAGTAAATCTTATCAGTTGAAAAGAAACTGTGATCGTGATCAAGCCACTAAGAGCCTCAGGGCTCAAAATGGCCGGTGTGGTAAACCCGAGAAATTCGGTACGTTCTGCTAGAGAAGCTAACCAGCTGTTTCTGACAGTACTGGGTTCTCCACAAGAATGTTTATGTTGACCCTGTGATGAAAGGGGTCATTTGACTAGTGAAAGCATGTCCAAAAGATACATACGAGGTAACTTCTTGTTGGGAAGCAGCTTTGGAGTCATGCAGAAGGCTGCTCCTGATTGCTGTTGATACAGTTTGACAAGAAGCTGGAGAGGATTGGACTTGACCTGAGGAACCCAAAGACCCTAAACACTGGGAAGTAGCTAAAGAGAACTCCGCCCTCTCTCTCCTAACTGGTGCTGGGGTATTGGAAGGGATTGGGGAGGAGAAGGGAAGAAGAGGCATAAGAAGCCAAAATCAATTAGTATGAAAAGTAACACCTTCAAATGGCTTTTCTTGTCTTTAGAAAGGCAGACTGCCCCATGCAGTGCCTCATCTGGATGTGGCTGGAGTCTTGGAAGCTTGACTACCCCATGATCCTACAAATGGACCTTGAGAGCATGTTTGGAGGTTCTAGCAGGAAAGCACAGCTACTCCAGGGCTGAGGACCACTCCTCCTCCATTTGGAGAAGGTTGCCCTCTTTGACTAAGCATGCAGCTTCGGGAGGGACACACGTGGAGCAGTGAGAGAGGAAAGGGACACCTGCCTAGCCAGCCAGATCAGCCGACTCAACCCTGGAGATCAATGGGGTGACAGCAGTAGCAGCCAGATCGCCCTCACTTCCCAGACAGTGGCTTTTCACGTAGCTAAGTTTACGTAGCAGAGCAGATAAAGTATCCACACACAGACCCTGTACGGAAAACCAACAGGGACCTCAGGGAGGAACCTGGGGATGAAAGCAACATGAGCCAATGTGACAACCACATTGTAAATCGCTTTCATCTGTCCTCCCCCCCCCCCAACACCCTGAACCTCTTATCCCTGCGCCAGCGTGGGAATCCTAGCACTGAAAATTGAACCATGGCTGATGACGCTTCCCAGAATGATTACTCAGACTTTCCCCTCCTCCCTGATTGTCATATGAAGGCCTTGGAATCTAAGGACAATGTCATTAAAAGATATTTTATGAAACTGCAGAATGTTCTTCCTGCAATTGTCCCTCAAGCAAACCTTGATAAAAGCTTGCTTGACGCTGATGCTAAACTACACATTATCAAGTAGGAGGTGTTTCCAGATTGTCTTAAAAGTGTATCTTAAACAATCTGGTTGGACAATAGATGCTGACTAATTGCCCTGTTTCCTGTACCGAGGCAATTGGGGAACTCAGGGTTTCTATGGCTTCCTTTATAAGCCTCTTAATTCTAAACAAAGCCAAAACCCAAACAGGAACATACTGGCCTCAGCAACCACAGACCTCAGCTGCAGGTGATACCACTGACATCATGGGAGCTGAGCCTATTTGCACACTGTTTCAAATCAAAGAGCTTTGGAATAGCTGGGACACTGGCTGAGGGTTCTATTCTGTTTTAAATCTTAATCAAAGACATTCTAGAAAAAGCATAATCTCATTATCCACACAGCTGGGGCTCAGTGAGTATTGCAAAGTTAGAGATGAATACATAAGGTGCCTAGCATACTTCAGGGGACACAGCCTAGATATTAAATAAAAGGCATTGTTTATGTATTACCACCGAGATGGGGTCTCATGTAGCCAAGACTGGCATCTAATTTACTATATAGCTGAGGTTGGGTGTGAACCTCCTGCCCCCACCGCCAAAGTGCTAGAATTACAGGTATATGCACACCATGCCAGGATACAAGGCTTTTTATTAATGCTAAGTTTCTGATGTGAACAAGCGCTGACTACAGAGTCCAGATTTTGTTGGGCTGTCTTGATGTCAAATATCTTGCAGACGTAAAGAGGTTTCATTTCTATAATGTTATCCCTTTTAAAGCAATTCACTGGTGTTCAACTACTACAGACGTTATATGCCTCTGGGGGGAAAAAAAAAAAAGAAAGAAATTAGGCCTTTAATTCAAGAATGCATGTTTCAGGGCCTAGGGATGTAGATCAGTTGGTAGAGTGCTTGCTTGTGTGGCGTGCAGAGGGCCCTGGGTTTGAGCTCCAACCCTGCATAAACCCAGCAACATCCACCTGTCATCTCAGCTCCTCAGGAGGAGGTGGAGGCAAGGATAGCAGAAGCTTAAGGTCATAAGACTTTCAGAAAAAGATAAACAAACAAAAACTGATTTGATTTGATTTGATTTCTTTGAGCCAGGGTCTTACGTAGCCTAGGCTGGCCTAGAAGCTGCTGTGCCAAGATTACATGCATGTCCTACCACACCCCGAGCTTTTTAAAGGAACAGTCTGGATTAATAAACAAATGTGTGATCATTCTGTGTAAGTGAACCACGGGTGGGCCTCGAATGTGATAAACCTACCCAGGTAATCACATTCAGGCTGACCTTGCCAATACTACCATCTAGTGGCCGCCAGAGGAAAGCACTCACCTCCAACCGTGTGACTTCGGGGGACATAGGTTGCCTCTGTTCTCCTTTACTGTCCAGTCACTCTGTGGGTGAGCAGCTCAGCTTATTTTTCCTAACCCTTCTTCCCTACCGAGCTGAGGAAAGCTTTCTTCCTGCCTCTTTCTTTTTTCCTTCTAATTTTGAGTATCAACAGATGACGATCTGCTGCAGAGGGAGATTTCTAGCACAGAAAGGAACACAGCGTACCAAGAAGCCACATGAAGCAACGGCTCACCCAGTCAACAGCAATTCTCTTCAATTATCAGCATTTAGTAGATGGAACATAGATGCTTTATCTGACTGCTGAGAGAGTATCAGTATTGCTTCCCCCCCCTTCTCTTCTTTTTTTCTGGGAACATAAGGAAGTTGGGTTGCAGTTTGTATTAATTTAGTCCTGGTGCAGGGAGCGGTGTATGTGTGTCCCCTGGGTGGGATTACATGGTTGGTTCTAGCTTCAAGGCCCACCATGGTTCACTTACATACTATGCAGCCAGGTCCTTAACAATCACTTCACTCACTCACATGCTTTAGGGCTCTTCCAGAGGAAAATAAACCAGTTCTTCAACCATGGCCTCCACCTGACATACAATGGCCCTAGGCTTTCTGTTCTGGGATGAGATTAAGGTGCACTTAAATTCTAAAGGAAGTAGGAATGCTTTCCTACAAATAAAACTTGACCAGGGCGGGGAGATGATTCTGTGGATAAGGTGTTTGCCATCTATTGTGAGGACTGGAGTCCAGATCCCAGCACCAGATTAAAAACAGGCAGTGTAGATACTTGTAATCTCAGTGCTCAGGGGATGGAGGAAACAGGAGGCCCCTAGGGCAAACTGGCTCTCTAGACTAGCAGAATCCACAAGCTCCTGGTTGAGTGAGAGAAGCTATCAGTAAATAAAATGGAGCTTGATGGTGGAAAACATCTACCACGGAACTCTGGCCTCTGTGGGCACATGTACTCAAGTGTATACAGTTACACACACACACACACACACATAATTTAAAAAATAAGAGGAAAGCAGGTGTGACGGCATAATCCTAGCACTCCTAAATGAGTGCAGAGGCAGGTGGATCACCTCACATGCCTATGACACACACGTACACGTACACACTGCGCATTCACACACATGTGCACATATACAGAACCCAGGGTTCGCGTTCATGCACAAGCGACAAGTCTTATCACTTTCCTTCTAACTATTTCAGCACGGATCTCCCAGGACCAAGGATAGTTATTTCATAACCACAGTGAAACTACTGCACTCAAGAAAACAAACCCTGGCCAAGCATTTATCTGATAATTCATATTGAAATTTTACCAATTATTCTGATTCCATTAGTCTCTCCTCCAGGGCGCAATCTGAAACCATGCCTTAGTTTACCCTCCCAGAGAAGACAGACTTTCAATAACCCCATCCTAAAACAGGCAGCCCAGGAGCCACACACTGGA